CCATGTGTATTACCTAGTTTGCTGTAGGCTGAAAAGAGAGAGGCACTGTATTAAAAATGGAAATGAAGAAAAAGCTTGGCCAATACTTGCAGGCCATAGAGCAGCCTAAGCCCTCTTTCTGCAGACTGTATCGAGTTTTGGCTGGGCCTAGTGGTGTTGATCCTGTAGTTCATTGCCAATTGTTTTTCTGATCTGGGGGGTTGGTTCTGTGCTCCAGCTCTGTTGTCCCAGCTGTGGGTTTGGAGGTAGTGTTGGTACAGTCCACAAACTGGACCTTTCTCCTGTTCAGTTCTTGCAAGCTGTGCTTCTCTGTCCCTGCAGCTCCCTGAGCTGCAAGGGGCAGCGGCACCATGAGAGGGGTGAAAGATGGGAATGAGAAGTCCCCTGGGGCAGCCCGGAGCTCTTCCTGCTGCCACCTAGACCTGGGGCAGGTAGTTGCCTGTGCCCAGCCCTGCCAGCAGGGACGTGGGGCTCCCTTAAGAGCACAGGGTACCTCCACAAATCTCCCGCTGAACACGGTCAGCTCTTGGTGGGCAGCGTGGGGTCGTGGAGGGGAGGCGCTGCCTGGCAGCACCCTGTGGCATTGGGCTGCCCCACAGCCTCCTTCCCCGGGGTGTGGAAAGGCCAGAGCAGGCTGCTGGCCCATGGGTATGCGAGTGCTGCTGATGTTCCCTTCTACCCAAGAGCAAACGAGGGAGTAGGATGAAATGATCTGATTAAAGAGGGAGGGGAACTTTCACATACTTTTAAAATTATTATTTGAAAAATTGTTTCCTAAAGCAGAGAAAGGTCATTGAGGGAACTATTTTCCTTTATTTTTTAATAAAATGCCACTTGCTGTCTGAGAAGCAGCTCGCCGTCAGCTGTACTGCCGGAGGGTAAATTAATATTTTAGTCACTTGGGGATTGTGGAAAAAAGCTCTGCAGACATGTTCCTGTCAGCAACTTTTTTTCCCTCCTTTTTTCTTTGCTGTTCTTCCTAATTTTTTTCTTTAATTTGTTCTCCCGTTTTCCCCCCTTTTCTCATTTTTCTCTTCTTTAATTTGAATTTTTCTTTCATGGGCTCAGCACAAAACCTCCCCCCCAAAAAAGAATTCCCCCTTTTTGTGGGGACAACGTGATGGTGGTGGCAAGAGGTCGCGCAGTTTGAACCAATCCCATTGGCTGTCACCTTCGATAGCCCTGACAGGGCAGATGCTCCTGCTGGGCACGCGCAGTGGCGGGCCATCGCTGTCGCTACGGCAACGCTGGGATTGGGGACGAGAAAGGGGGCTTGACTAGCAGTCGAAAGCTGCCACATTGCCTCAGCATTAACAGAGTCTTTAATAAACGCTTAAGAGGCAGCCCCGCAAATTAGTTATGACAGTTTGTGCAGAGAATCAGGTCTCCCCCACGCTCCTTCCGCCCTTCTCCTTTAAAGGGCCCATAGCCTGGACAACTTTGACATAATTTTGCAATAATTATCACTTGAAGAATTTCCACGCTGGAGTGGACGTCAGAACCCATCATGTCAGCTTGGCAATAAATGCTGACCAGCAATCCCAGCACTTCCCTCCCCCCCCACTTTTTCTTTGCTTTTTCCATTTATGCACTGGTGCTAGTGATTTAACTTACTTATTTGCCACTGTAACCTCATTTCAGACCTACATTTTTCATTTAATTTTTGCATTTAATTTCGGTGTCTTTCTCAAGCAGGGAATGGACAACCAGCAGCTCCCGGACGGTTCAATCCAGTTCAGGTGAAGCAGGAACCTGTGGAGGCCATGGGATCATCATCTGCCACTAGTCAGGACTCCTTGCAGGAGCACAGCTTGGACCTGAGCGTCAAGGACCATGGGTGAGAGAAATGCGCAGGCAGGCACGCTTAGCTCTTTCCAGAATCAAGCTTTAAGAAGTTTCCGTACCTGTAATATGAAAGGACACAGCATGTTGACGAAAGGCAATTTCACAGTGGCTGAGTTGGATGCCACCAAACTGGAGGCAGGGAGGCGCTCTCTACTCCCCCTCAAGTCTATGTTCTCCAGACTTTTTTTTGGGCTCACAAGCACCTACTGACTCTTTGACAAGAGTCCCACCTCTTGTGCTCCCCTCTGAAAAATGAGCCACTGGCAAAGCT